ATTTTGCAAACGCTGTTGGACAATATTTTCTGTATGATAACGTGGAAAGCCATATAAAAATGGTATTGCATGTGTAGTGTCAGTTATTATGGCAAGCCCATATACCTTATTCTAACTTCCGGACATCCTATTTTATTCATTTTACTTGAGCCATATTTTGACCTTGTCAATTATTCGCTTATTAGCCTTGACTGTTTTCACATGAGCGTATATATGTGTGTGCACTTCTTATTTCATTAATCACATGTCTGTACCTTTAATTTGTCTGATTATAAATATTGAGTAATGTTCGGCTTGAATTGGAGTTGGCTTCCCAGCCATCTTCCATACGTGTCAAAATTGCTTTGTTATGGCTCTCGCTCGCTTAGCATGCGAACGGGCATCCTCATTGGTAAGCCCGCCGACGACGAACGCAGCGCAGCAAGCTACGTCGATGAAGGCACTTCTGCACTCTATACGTTCGACGAACATATTCAGCGAAGCCAGCGCAATCTCCAATCCGACGCAATCAGCACAGCCTGTGCAACATGACATGGACATGCTCAAGTCGTATTATCTTATCGATACTTTGTCCTCATGTCAATTATCCTCATTGATACATTTTTCGGATTGTTCCATTACGATTCAAATTATCATTATATGCTTATTATTACATTATTATCAATATCATGACCGAATGTGGAATTATTAATTTTGTCGTGCTGTCATTAAATCATGACATTTTCGCAATCATATTACTCACCGAACAAATTATCATTTTATGAAAATTCCACTTAACTTTGTGAGAACTCATTGGGATATTTTTACTATTCGAAAACGTGAAATTTTCCTGCTTTAAGTGAGTTCGTTCCAATTTTTCATGTCATTTTGATCTAATATTGCATTCATTCACTTAGTCGAGGTCAGCAATTTATGTTATCACAACATACATTTTTCATTTCGAAATCGCCTCCTATTATGTCTGTGGATGCTTCTGACTAGATGACTAGTAACCATTACGTTCATTTTATCTATTTTCCCACGTGCATAACTACATGCTGCATCACTTATCACTCAAAAACGCTATTCGAGTACTGCAACTACTATTCTATTCCCATCGCACTGCATATCAGAACATAGAGTTTAGAGCTAGTCTCTCAAAGATACACTCTTGTTCGTTAAATCCAAGTCAGTCTCATACGTCGCCATCACTAACCATATGTATTGGTATTTTTGTCATGCCTTGGTACGGTTTTGTAACAAACGAGATCGAGCGTATCTCCCTCAAAACACACAAACCACTCAAGGCTTCATGACCAAACAGGAATACGACTCTATGTACCTTGTCTACTCAGTCACTATTCTGTTCCTCTGGCCATTCTATTAATACATATTCAATGATAACTCAATGCATCTGTCATGACGCAGACGACAACGTCCACTGACTTCAAATTTTATGATTATTATCAATTGCAGTACAGCAACGAATATCACCCGTCGATGCAGATATCATTTCACGACTTTACTATTATCATCCTACGAACGGGAACTGCACATTTAAATTCGAATTCATTCATCGCTAGTCAATGCTATTTATTCTACTGTGGCTCAACAGAACATATATTTCGCATATTTCACTATTCTGTCGGCATCACAGACCAATTTCTGTCATATTCTACTTTACTTATTTTCACTATTTATTTCGCTATCATACTCACAAACAATTTATTATTATTTTCACGATATTTTGAATTGCTCATACGAACGTGTTATTTTATCGTTCAGACAGTCATAGCATTAGTACATGTTAATTTTCTGTACGCTCATTAATTTGCTCATATTCGCATGCTAACGTTTCCATTTTTGTCCGCGCCTTTTCTATATTCATGTATTCTTTTGCATAAGTATGATATTTTCATATAATACACTCATCCTTCATGTGACACTGTACTTTATCGAGTGTTGTACATTTTTTTTTTGCTACTTACAGTTAACGTTAACTACGCACCACTTCAGTGTTATTTTCGAAAACAGCCATTTTTTAAATGTGCTATTTTCTACAAGGGGGCTATGTAGTGTCAGTTATTATGGCAAGCCCATATACCTTATTCTAACTTCCGGACATCCTATTTTATTCATTTTACTTGAGCCATATTTTGACCTTGTCAATTATTCGCTTATTAGCCTTGACTGTTTTCACATGAGCGTATATATGTGTGTGCACTTCTTATTTCATTAATCACATGTCTGTACCTTTAATTTGTCTGATTATAAATATTGAGTAATGTTCGGCTTGAATTGGAGTTGGCTTCCCAGCCATCCTCCCTGCGCGTCATTTCGTTTTGTTCTATCGCATTCACTTTACATACAAAATATATGTATTCAAATGCCATTCTCGTTAATTGACTTATTTAATTCCGTTATGGACTAACGCGATTTAAGTCGACGATGATATACGAGAATAGGTGATAACAATCATTCGTACAATCTAAAATGGGATTCGAGAACAAAGGGCCCCTAAAGTGGTGAGCCCTCCAACGAGTATCGCCGATCTAAATGAGGACAAAATCAAACTACAGGCTTCTAAACATGTTGTACTAAACGATATTTTCACTGAAAGGAAAAGCCACGGAATAAAAAAATCTCACACATAGACTTGACAAGTCAAAGACAGGTTCCTTGACAGTCAAAAGCACGGTTCTGTCCGGAAAAAATAAGATCGAAATAGTTCAAAGAATTTGAAGAACAAGCAGTCGTACTGGCATTGGCGACATCGTTCGGCCATGTAGGGGTATCCACTTCGTGTCGGTGTATATGTAGAACTATGGTCTACTGTGATATTAGTACTGCTCTACTAATAGACCTAATCCTAAAATTGTAGGTTTGTCATGATATAACTGCCTAATCTATAAGATCTTACGTGGAAGTCACACCATCGACTACACCAAGTCACTGTATCGTATCAATTACCAATACATGATGTAGAACAAGGTTAGGCTAGAAAAGGAACAATATATTTAATATGAATAGAAGATATAAGGTAACATTCAGAGGGACCACGCCTGAATGACCGAGCCATGTCATCCGATTAACTTCAATTCATTCAATTCAACTCCTTGTTCGCGCCTTCTCCATCGTTAGGTATTTCTCCGCGTTAAATATTGAATATCTATTTTCTGAGTAGTCTTGTGTTCAGCTTTGATGATTGTGTGGTTATGGTCCAATGCCACTACATATACTCCTCGCTTTATCAATAGAAGAGACCAGACTAGTGGCAGAATAGGTAATCATTTAGATGGTGAAGCGAAACAACTGGAGTGCTAGGTTCTCTTTTTCAAACATAGTTTTCAACATTTAATGTAAGACAGTGGGAAATGTAATGCCTACGCAAAGTAAAGAAGTAAATGAATACTTCAGCTATTATGTTTTTACGCTACCAAGATACCTGCAGCCAACTCCTAACCAACCAACCTAAGGTGTTATAGTCACTGTATGTAACTTCATAGTCTTCATGTCAAATATATTATGCTATCCCCAGTTTAGATGTGTTTTCCAAAGGCTATTACAAACATTGCCGATGTTACGAGAGAACGAGTCAGCATATATAATGATTTGATTCTGGTATGTGATTTTACACACTAGGTAGTCACATTTTAATAGGTTAACAATTTTAGATAAGGTTTACTATTCTAGTAGCATAGATAAGTGCATTTATATTGGCTAAGAAATTAGTCATATTCAGTCAATGTTCAAAACAATATTTCTTGCCTACAGTCAGGATAATACGGTTTCTTTTCAACTAGGACAGAAACTAGTAGCAGGTCGAGCAGTACCAGTCAAAGAGGATGGTTTTCTATGTAGCCACCGCTAAAGTTTTCCAAAATGTTAAGCTATAGTACGAGGGAAAATTGGTCGAAACTTTAATAACACCCAAGCATTGGCCACACTTAAGAAACCGCAAACAATATAGAAATAATAGTTCCAAATGAATCAAAAAGATATAAAATATGAGTAAATATAGTCCAAAACTAAAGAAACAAATCATGTAAGAGAAGAACAAGTGGAAGATATACATGAAGATACTTTCTCACACATCATAACAGGTACATAAAAATGTATTCTACTTGGGTCTAGTATTCAGGTAACAAAGGAATCCTTCAAATATATTGAGTATTAGATTAAGTTATTCAATGGATGACAGGACATCTGCTCATTTCATTAGGAAAGCCCGACATATATTGTCACGGCCGTAAAATTTTCCGAGATTCACTGTCAATAATTACCAGATTTCCTTAGCAAGTCTCTCTGTCCATTCTCTCACCTTTGACGGAAGTAGGCGCTCGACATAGTTTATTCAGGGTATTCACTTCACTGGTTTCAATGAAGTTGGAACACGAAAGCTATTAGTTTTGTTTGTTTTCATTGAAACTCCGTTTCCTGGCTCTCATGCATCCATTTTCACTGGATCTATTCTTATCAAGCCAGGTTGACTGATGCATGCGTAGTTCGTAGTAGAACATAATAAAGGGAAACATTCTTGTTTACCATCATATCCTGGTGAGGTTTCGTTAGTCTTAAAGACTGCAATTCTTTGTGCACCAAAGGCTATAATGCTATTTTAACTCATAGATTCATCACCGTTAAGAGTTTGTTTTCCCATAGGTTTTCTTGAATGCACTAACAAGGGATATTGTTTTCTTCAAACAGCAGTAATTTTTAAACAACTCTCATCTGACTGTAAACGAATATTCTATATGACAGTTACCAGGAGTATATTTCTAAATCCTTAGTTGCTTTTTAAGGTTATGCGAAGTTAAACTCCTCTTTCATGCCCAAGTCTAAATGGAACTACTGGGGACCCCGAATTATTGATGTTCAATTAATACTGAGGTACATCAAAAACAGTTATATTCCTTGAAAAATACCTGCATGCTTTAATATTCGCACTTAAAAAGTATGTAAAGCTGCATCACAAAGTACTAAACAATCTTTTGTTTGTACCACCTCTTTGTTTGTCTGCACAGAAAACTGCTTCCTGGGACGGCCATTACTCCTCTTAGTTTTTGTTCATTGTTTCGAATTATGACATACATGACTTTGTTGCAGCGCATTGAATTGGAGCGAGGAAAACGGGAACCGGGAGAAGTAGGTCGGCATTCAGTTCTTAATGTGCATTAGATCACGGAGCTGAATTTGGACAACTCAAAATCCGTGGATATCGAAGGTCTTACGGATGAATACTCGTCCTTAGAGGTCTTGAGCATGATGAACGTTGGTCTTCAAAGTTTGGCTGGTTTGCCTTCTCTTGCCAGCTTAAAAACTGTAAGTTGAACTAGACTAAATTATGCTTTCTAAGCTTGAGTTGTCGAATAATTTGATATCTGGTGGTCTTGACGCTCTGCTCAAATGTCCCAACATTGAGCAACTTAATCTAAGTAGCAATAAAATTGAATCAATGGATGTATTGATTCCACTGGCTAAACTATCCGAACTCAAGAGTTTGGACCTCGGAAACTGTCCTGTCACCACTACAGAGAATTACCGTAAAAAGGCTTTTGCAATGATACCCTCTTTAAAGTATTTGGACGGTCTTGATGAGTAAGTCAATATACTTAGATTTAATTCATGATTCAGGAACAACGAGGAAGAAGTGTTTGGAAACGATTTTCTCAATGGAGGTCTTGATGAAGAGGGTAAGTCAAACCTTTTGTCTTGATATGTTCGTATGCCACAGTTTATTGTAAAGTTTTACCCGTACGCGTTCCATACTGTTCAGTCAACCATCTGATTCAGGTATTTAAATGTTTAATTAAGAACGCTAGTGTTCAGAACGGTTTTGTGTCTGGCTTGGTTACCCATGCGTATAGCGCTCGTTGCTCTATGTTCAGTTTCTCGATTTGTGTAGTCAAATTGATGTGTTCATTCATGTCTTCAGTCTTGTAAATTGTCAATCCCAGTATGCATCCGGTCTACTATGTGTTCGAAAGACGTTTTTGGAACGAAGCTATCGTTATTAGCTATTACTTCGGAAACATTCTCGTTAATGGTCCTCGCTTTCGGCCTTCTGCATTTCCGTTTCTCTGTTTTTGTCATTGTGGTTTGTAAATGGTTGTCTTATTACACTCACTTCGAAGGCCTACATAAAATCTACTTTCTGGATATAAATAAATAGCTTTTCTCTAGGTTCCAAAATGTGTGTGTAAAGGGCGGAATTTCAAGGATGGAAATATAGATAGACTTAAAAAACCTGTTATATTTTGGTGCTTCTTAGTGTCATGAGTTGATGCTCGCCTTCTCGTAAAGTTCTGACACTGAGGTGGCAGTCCTGGTGTCGTTGATACATTAGCGGTAAATGGAGACTGGTCAAATGGATGATCACACTTCCTTCCTGTTCATGGCAAACACAGCTTCAATATGTTCTAAACGTATAATGAGACTATAGGTAGATTTTGTTAACAAGTTTAACGTGTGGACAAAATCTTTAGATTAGTAAAAGTTGGTAGTAAAAGTTAAGAAATCTGGCGAATAAAGTGGTTTTCGGACGTTCCTCGGTTGTCTTCCATGCATCGCTTGCATTGCTGATGACATTCTACTAAGTACTTCTGGTTTTCATCTATTTCGCTCTTTTTGTTAATAGTTACTGGGTTTTTTTAGATGACAGCACATGGATGTCCAGTTCTTGTTTAACTAAGTAAATCAATAGACAAGCAAAAATCTATTTCCTCGACAAAAAAGATTTTAGAAGTTAACTTTCCATCTTATTTAATTATTTCGATGTAGCAGACGGTGTCGATGAAGCTGATGAAGAGGATGATGAAGGATCTGATGAGGAAGACGAATGTGACGACGAAATTGGCATTGAAGCCCTTCAACAAAGTGGTGAACTTGAAGATGATGAGGATGACTATGCTCCAGGTAAGTATTGTTCTTAACTGCTTAATTTCTTGCGATACCCACTCATATTAACTCAACGTTTTTTGCTCTCTCTTATAGGCGAAGATGAGGAAGCGGAATTAGATGATTACGACGATGTGGATGATGAAGATGATGACGAGGTAGAGGAAGACAACGGGGCTAACCTTTCGGCTGCCAACGTGAGTGGACCTCGACGTCCTGGTACCAAGCGGCGTCATGATGACATTCAAGATGGGAAAAATGGGGATAAAGCGGAGCACTGTGGAACTAAGCATAAGCACGTTGAAGATCGTGTGGAGACCCACGTTGAAAACGGATCAACTGCGGATGATTAGACAGTTGATATAAACTTCATTGTTCTTATTTAGGCCAAATTCCTATTGTATATGTTATGTTCATGTTCATCTTTTATGTTTAACCACAAATTCACCGAAAATGAACTATGTATTTGTACAGTACATTTGCTGACATCTTTTTTCGACAACACATAATTCAGTGTTAGCTAATGCATTTACTCATTTGTAATACTTTATTACATTGTTAAATTTTCGAAACATCTTTTTAACTAAAATCGATCCATATTTGTTGGGTTTTAATCATTATAAATTGAATTGTCATCTTAATAATCAGTCTATTACTTCCTTGTCTGACCTGCATAGTCCAGATAACGTTTAAAAAATGAGCATGAGTTCCTAAGCCTACGCACCAAGACTCAACTGGTAATTCATTTTGGTAAATTGATGTAGTTTTGGTGTTTCGAGAAGTTAAAAAGAACTTAGTTCCATCGTTTGTAGGGATGTATCGCTGCTAAGCGTGCTAGGTGTTTGGGCTGTGCTTAACTAGTACCTATGTGTGATGTATCTCAAACACGAAAGGTGAACCCTCAGTAGTTTTGCGAAATGTCCTAGGTCCAGTCGAATACACTCGCCTTGAGGGGCCCGGAATTCTGCTAAAGCTCTCCGGGGTTGCGTTGTTGTTCTGCTTCAGTGTATCGACAGACAGCAATGAGACGATTGCACAAGCTAAACAGAGATTACGGCTATGCCCTTGAGTTTGCGTCCGTGGGTCTTGCGTATAAGGTTTCTGGTAATCTGTGATGGAGTCCGTTTGCGTGTAGTCACCTAGAGCTCTTGGACTGAAATCCACGGATCGTGATACCAAACCTCGACGAACATGGCTGTCATCCCATAGATACCTCAGGTTAAATCGCAATTAAAACACTACGACTTAGGTTTCATGGCTACTTGGCTATCCACTACTTAGTTTACATGGGTGGACGTACATCGCCTATCGAATACAATGGTGTAGACTAAAAACAAGGGGCGAAGTATATTGGTCGAAATGACAATAAGACCAAATGAGTTCTAAAGTGCTGGGTCGGTTTTCTAACTTCGCAGTTATATTTCTAAAAGTGGACACCAATAGACAAAGTAACATCTGGGTTGCTGTATATGTTAATTCAGGCTGTCGGTTGCAACAAATTTCTTAGATATTTTGGAACCTAGCATGAGGTCTCGGTCATTTTGTGACCGACAAACTGCTTGATAATACTAGTTTTGTGCATAGATTGCATGGAACTTAACAAGAATGACACCTGTTTCGAGATTAGATTGATGTCCAATTATCCTAATGATTATATTACTAGGGATCAACATGAAACAAGTCTCATAATATCAAGTTTATCCCTTCAAACTCATTATAGAGGACTAAGGAAGTAAGTATCCACTCAAGTGGACATTACGAGAGAGTAGGCATTATTCTGTCTAAGTAGTGTAAATTAATATAAGGAATATTTACAGATAAAAAGTATCGTTGAAATGAGACTTGAGGTCATACAAAGACTTTTAGAAATGACTTCAAAACCCTATGCCTGAAATAAAACGGAGACATTGCAAGTACGGATATTAAGCACCTGGTGGATAGTAAATACACCCAAAGCCTTTAGAATATCATACGAGAAACCCTATTTATATCATGTAATTGCGCAATCACTTGTTTCAGCCAATGATTATGACCCACAATGCTTTTATAAATTGGAATTTCCCTAATATAAATGAGCATCAAACTGGAATGTATTACGTAATGTTGATGGATAAGTATTATACAGATTGTGTTGATTTGTAGTCATCTATGACAAATTAATCAATCTCTGCGAAAACCTTTGATCATAATACTATGACAGTCTGGTCAGTAGAGATTTACTTCTAGAATTTTAGCGGAGAATCGCAATCGGTTATGCTCAAATATGACGCCAATGAAATAATCATAATCAATGGTGTTGTATGATCGTCGTATTATATAAAGAATAGGTTTAAGCTAGAAATGTGTATTATTGGTCACAGAGGTGTAAAAATAAGTAAGGTGATATGATGAGCATTTACGAATAAAATAATGAGAATATAAGACATAAGTAAATAGAGAATGCAGTAATAATAATAACAGGATAATCAAAATAATTAAGGCCAAGGTAACGATAACGATAAGACGTACTTCTTTTGTACGCATAGTTCTGGCATAAGCTCCTGGATTGTAAGAGCTTCAGCTATTTTTAAGAGTTGGATACGAAGAAGTGTGGGTAGATTTGAACGAATCATATAAACAACCTTAAAATCAAATTATGGATCTGTAGAATGGTTACAGTCGATTAGGTGTTCAAGTATAGAACTCCTAGCTGCTTTCCTTTCACCCTTATAGAACCAAGCTGGGATATGTTCCCGTATCCGAGTTGAAAGCGAGCGCTGGCTACGGTCACTGTACCTTGCTCCACAAGATCAATGAATGTGTCTTAGATCAGTCATTTTAATATTTATACAACAAAATAAATCCATTGAAATAAAATAATGATTTCAATGTATTATGTAAAACTTATAGTTTAAAAATTAAGGGTAGTATATATCAGACTATTTGTTAGTTTATATATTTCAAGCTAATAATAACCATTATCTAATAGGCTATAAGGATTTTCTGTATATTAATCTTTATTTTTAGATTGGCTAAGTTTTGTTAAAGTATATTTAAGCCACTGATTACCCTCTATCTAAATAATTAAGTTATATACCAACTTATATATTTCCATTATCTACAACACATTAGTTACAAGATACTTGTTTTTATTCTCCAAGCACAATTATTATTTCAAATGATAGTCCTCTTGTAGTGAAGGAGAACACAGGTGAGGACAACCGAATTATATTTAGCACAACATTACAGAGTTACTTGGTGAAATATAGAAAAACCATATTATAATACTTAATTTGCAAAATGTTCAATAATAGTCTCGAACTTCGTTGTTCTTGCATTTCCATACTAATTGCTTTCTATTCCCACTCTTCCTTTCTTGATCTTCCACCATCATCTGCTGCCAGACATTACATTCATGACTTGCGTCATATACTACTTATATCAAACATAAGTAGCACGCGCCACACTTTCACCTTGATTTAAAATTGTTGTATAATTACGGAAATAGCTTCTTTTTTCTTGATGACAGATAAAATATCACTCATATGTATATATAGAGAGAGTGATTATGTTAAAGTAATCTTGAACTCCTCTTCATTTAATAGAATATTCACATGATTCTTTAGAATTTTCTAAGCCTACTGAGTTAGTGAAAATATTCACAATTATTTTCTATATTAATAATGAAATATAAGACACATCTAATTGAAAATGAATCACAATCAATTATTCAATTAGATATTACTAGTAAATAACATTTCACTATAAATAAACAATTGGATTCAATTAATTAAACTGATACTTAACGGATCTATAATTTTTTCTATGATAAGCATTTATGATTAGTATCAGAAGGGGTTATGTGGATCTGATAGTAATTTCAATGGTTCAGATCATGAGTCAATTGAAGCTAGACCACCATGGAAAACCTGGAAGCACTGGATGACCATTTCATCCTATTGTGATTCCTGCAGCACTGCCACGATCCCACCTCGTGAGATTCGAACTCAGGATCAGTCAGTCTCGCATGCGAGCGCTTAACCAACTAGACTACTGAGCTGGTCGACATCCAACGGTGTTAGTGTCTAACTTTAACGAATCCAAAAAACTGAATGACACATCTACCATTGTCTTCAGTGAGTTCCCATCTCATAACAAACCCGATTAAATTCCACTGGTCACTTTTATAGATTAAAAATGATCAATCAATCCATAGAGTATAAATCTCTATTTTCTAATATTTGTATTTTGTTATTTTATAAACAACAAAACACACACACACAATATGAATGTTAGTTACTCGCCTATTCAGTGGAAATTTGATTTTGTTTTATACCTGATATAATGTTCAATTACATTTTTGTTAGTTATGCTAAGGAATATACCAATCATTATCAAGTTAAGTCTAATGATGTCCTTGGACTCTAAATGGGCATGCCCTATTGGCCATTATTTATTTCACTCGTTAAATATTGTGTAAATGTTGTTTTCTATTTTATGGTACGATGTGGTCTGGTTGGTTGGTATATAAATAGAGTATGTCTGGAATATAATGATTCATAACTCAGAGGCTGTGACTTGCGTTCTAGACTCAACTGGATGGGCTAGACAGGTAAGCGGGGCCAATCAGGACACTAGATCGTTCACTACGTGTTTTCCGTGTCACTGTAATCGGTCGAATAACGCTGCTTATCAAAACCTGCAGTCCACCCGTTACAACAATTTTGGAATTTATTTCATTGAAATAACAAACAACCTTGAAATAATCTCTTGGTTGTAATAATAATCAACCAATCAAATGACAGTTTTGATTTTAATTCTATCGACTTATATTTGTCCTTTCAAGGTTATTTGATTCATGATTATTTTTTTTTGATTCAAGGACCAATCAAATTGATTATTAATTTGTTTCATATTTAGTTAAGTCCTAGAGATTCATTTAAATCTCTAACAAGGACAGGATGAATAATAATAAAACAATCAAATATATGAAAAGAACATGATTTTAAAGACATGAAAATATTGGTAGTATAGATTTTTGTTAGAATTTGTAGTTTAGGTGTTGATTGTCTTGGCTCTTTTAATGTTACTTTTTGTATCTGGTCGTCGTTGATTGTTATATCGGGAACGCTTATCATTTATACTCGGAATGAGGGACTTCTGCAATCCCCACCACGCGAAAGTAAAAACACAAAGACTGGTATAAGTGATGATTTATTAACCCAAAAACACTGCGAGACTCTAATTCATGGACGAGCCAATCCGAAGCGTTTTAGGGATTTCAAGGTTACGACGCCAACTTCAGTGCTTAATGCTAATATACGTTCGGTTCACAGGGAATTTTGTACAGAATGTGATAATTGAGCGGTTATATCAAATAAAATGGCGAGACTATCATTTGTGGACGAATCAATCAGGTATAAGATAATAGATCTCGAATTTTAACACGAAAGCCTTTCACCCATTTGGCTAAATAAATTTCTGGCATTATAGCTGATGTCAGTTCGTGATGAAAATCCCATATATAATTCCTAACTAAGGCAAATTACAACAATTATTGCGAACTGGATAATAAAAGCACCAGTAACACTGGATGCAGCCAGGTACTACAATATATACGGACGTTTCGAGAGCGTACAGACTCCTACATAGGCTTGGTTGTGTG